AGCCACGTGAGAGAATAATTGGAGACTTCCAACCGACACAACAGATGATCATAATCACGAGTTGCCACCGCGGGGGGAGAAGGGCGCCTCTAATCGCGCGGTGCCGAATCGTCCTCACGCCCCCCACGGGAACGCGGCCGACCCAGTGCAAGACTCCTCTCTGCGTTACGAGCTGAGCGCCTTAATGCGACACTTTTTTCATCATGGGACCTCCTTTGCCAGTTCCAAAATATACTAATAGGGTTTTCCCCTTTTTTCTGGCAACAAAACTGACACCTTTTGCAAGGAATCACGCTTACATTAACCACAATACTTGCAGTCAAATGCAAGTCAAATGTTTGCATTTGACTGCAAGTATTGTGGTTAATGTAAGCATGATTCCTTGCAAAAGGTGTCAGTTTTGTTGCCAGAAAAAGGGGAAAACCCTATTAGTCGACACTTTGTTTGTTTGTTTTCAAACAAACAGCCCTCGCGGCCTTTGTGCGTGACCGTCCATCTGTCCGTAACCTCCCCGCAGCCGGCGAGCCAGCAAAACTTAGCTCAAACTATATCCTGTAGAGTCGACTGTGGATTGTGACATCGCAGCTTCGTGAGAGACGGCTGCCGCTTTGGAATTCCTCCAGCAGTGGATTGACCCATGACTGATGATCACACTGCATGGGCATGGATGATCAATAATAGGAATGCATCAACACTGAAACGCGTGCATGGAGAGATGCACGCTTGATCTAACGTGCATACTTACAGCGCCTGCGTCAGTCCACTGCTGAATGAGTGCCCCATCCACGTCGTGTGTGGTTCGTGAGGGTTGTTTCACCATACTTCACCACTCTGGTGAAGCCCCCCCCCCCCCTGGAGGTGGGGGATAGAGGGTGGGGGCACCTATATCGGTTCAGGAATCAATTACCGGTCACCCATGTTCGCCGGGGCGAGGAAATCGAACATCTGGTCGCCGGGTTCGCAGCTCCGCGCGCTAATCACTGCGCCACCGCTCCCCACGGTGAGCTGTGAACTCAAAAGTCATCTGTCTATCTTATCGAGGTGGTGCAAGCGGAGAGGGAGGCAGCCCGGACTCTGCCGATCAGGGCACACCTCGGGGGATTGTCTCAGGCTTTAGTGGACAATCTGCCGGTAATGATTTGTAAGTTCAAAATTGATGTGTGGTTTCTCGCGTTTTGTTTAATGGACACGGAGTCGCCGTTGGAGGTGGTTGCGCATGGAACTACCTAATCCCCCGGTGCCAGATCGGGTGCCTGGGGTCATTACACGTCTGGGACACACGGCCCCTGCCCCTGCTGCTGCTGCTGCTACCCTGGTGATGAAATACCAAGGAAGAATACACACGCACACGCACGAATACAGTTGCGTTATCCAACACGCGTTTGCTTGACTGTGAAGGTATTTAAGTATCGGGACGAAGCCGGCGATTAGTTGGCAGGGCAAAACGCGTTTACGTCTCTGCAAATAGTCATGTTTTAGCTCTTGGTTATCGTCTCCACGTTATGGGCAACCCCATCTTACCCAAATATTGGTCGCAAAAGCCTACGTGTTAAATTGGCAACCCTTTGGTCAATGTTACCGGTTTATGTCGAGACTGAGTCCCTAACACCAACGTCACTCTCAACTAAGGTCTCGTTCCGGTTGGTCAATTTGTACAATAGTGATCGTGACCCCACGTTACAACTCACAGAGATTACGATCTTTAACATACTGTTGGGGCAAGTGCTGTTAGCGAGCACATCTGAAGGGCGGCACGGGACACGAGGGGCAGGGTCACCAACACCACGCCAGGCCGCCTTTGTCTCCCCAGTGCTCATTTTCACCCCTCACCCGCAGCAGGTCATCATTTAAGGCAGAGTCGACCTAGCGGAGAGGGGGCCCAGGACAGGTTCAGATACCACTCGCCGCTTGGTGTCAGCCGTGGCGAGGAATCTAACTCAGGTGGCCGAGTTCGCAGAGCATTGTGCCACCACTCCCCCCTCCACACACACATATATAACACAGAGCAGTATGCTGTATGTACAGACAATATCGCACGCAATTGCTGAAAGAATGGCGTGAATTAACGAGAATGTACGTGGCTTTGAATTGTTCCCTATTTTTTTTGTACAACACTTTCACGGACAGGTTCCAAACAATTAGCAGCAACAACTGGATTCTCAAGTGTAGCGAGTTGATAGCTTCATTGCCCATCGCCAACGATGGGGCCCAGCCACCGTGCTGTCTTCGACAAACGGGGCCCCATTGAATGCCTTGCATCAAGTCCCGGCAGTAATTAGAGTCGGTTTGGATATTGAGAGGAGGCCGGGACTAAGTTGAGTGACGTGGCTTGAGATGGATGGGTAGGGGGGGGTGCGTGGGACTGCGAGCCGGAGAGAGATACATTTGGTGAGAGATATATAGATGGGAGTGGTGGTGGTGAGAGAGGATGTGTGGAAAGTGCAGGTGATGAGAGGGGTCATGTGTTGGAGGCTATTCCGCCGCTTGGCATAGAGTCTCACAGAACCCATTCTGGGATTGTGGATGCGAGGGTTGGTGACCCTATTTCCCCATCACTGGATGGAGTCAGACAGACAGACACTCCAACGCCCTGTTGCCCTAATTTTTTTTTCTGGACGAGGACCGTAAATATTAGTCTGCCATTAACGGATTAAGCATGTTGGACCGCCTTACAGCCCATGGGTGTCTGTGAAAAGCCACGCAAATCCAGGGCCAGCGAGCATTCCGTTTAATTTCCATTCCTGAGAAAACATTTTCAAGATTCTCATGACGAGGTCCAGACGGTGCCGCGAATAAATTAATCACCGACTTTATTACGAATGGGCGAGAGAGCGCGGTGAGGCTGTTGCGAGGCTTTGAGTCCCGTCTGAACCATATTGTCGCCTTTTTCCAGTTTATAAGACGTACTTTTCCTCCTGTGTATTTTTTTTTAAAAGGAAACAAACATTGGGTGTGTGTCCGGGATGGTGGAGTCTCGACAAGCCTGGCCGCTCACCGAGCCGCGTCGCCGGACATCTCATCACGACCACTGATGCCCGACTGGGTCGTCTGCTCTTGCTGCGTGTACGAGGCGCTGCAGAGTGAGTGTGTGTGTGTGGGGAGCGGTGGTGGAGCGGTTAGCGCTACGCTGCGCTACGAACCCGGCCACCCGAGTTCGATTCCCTCGCACGGCCACCGACACCAGTGACGATTATCTGAACCGGTCCTGGGCCTCCCGCTCGGTCGACTCAGCTTCAAACGAGTGTCTGGTGCGCTGTGTAAACATCGCCAATAGGGAGACAAAGGCGGTCGGGCTTGGTGCTGGCCACGTCGTGATTTATAATTTTATTTATATTATTTGCACCATATATAATATTATTTTTTTTTCCCGCCTACGTGACTTTGCCGAAACAACCTAATAGTATGATTCATTGCAGTCACGAAAGCTTCAAATCTAGAATTAAGTCTGTTAAGGCTACACGGGGTCTTTGTTTTCTGACCAGATTTGTAAAACTATTGACACCGCGCACAAGTTTGGGGTGCGTCTTACTTTCCAGAGCGTCTTATAATCCGAAGGCCACGGTCGCTATCTGCTCAACAGCCTGCAACCTGCCCCCATCATGTCAACGTGCACACGCAGCTATTTTGCCAATCCACTGCTGGATGAATATCTCCCCACGTCAAACGAATGGTGGGATTTTTGTTGCTGTATTATACTTCACCACGCTGGTGATCGCGGGGTTGTGAAGACCCAGGGGGCCGTGAAGAGAATCGAACTTCGGTCACCAGGTTCGTAGCGCAGGGTCGCGAACCAATGTCCCACCGCTCCACGTATCCAAGGCAACGAGTAATGAACGATGTCCATGTGAATCTGCAGGGCGATATATTTATAAATACCCCGCTAAATCGGAGGCAGAGTAAAACATGCTATTTTAGAGGCCCCACATTGTCTCCCATCAACCTCAATAGACGTATTAGACCCGTAACGCTCTGTGTTTGATAACAATGATGACGATGCAGCCACCGCTTTCGCGATATTAATTCACCCGTTGAGAAGAGAGGTTCAGTGATGGGGTGATTATACATCAGTGGGGTGTCTATAAACGGATCACCACGGAAATTGCCGCAGCAGTTGTAAAAGCACAGCTCCTGCGAAATCCTTGCTCGCTCCACTGCTGATGGAAGTTCCTTCACTGGCGGTCGCTTTAGAAAGCCCCTTTAGACTATAGAGGACCACGTTCGAGGCTGTTTTGGTCCACTCTCGCACTGGCCATACAACAACAAGAAGAAGAATTATAATGAGAAGAGGTGGCAGCAACTACCCACACTTTACCCCATCGCTCCAGCGGCCGCGCAGAGAGACGTCTCGGCTATGAAAGTCTCGGCGTGCGCGCTGCATTTTTACATCGCCGTGGCGGAGTTCCTCCCAGCAGCGATTGTCAAGATAACTCTGCGTAAAGATAACTCTTTGTCAACATAATTCGTCTCGAGCAAGATCTCCTTCTCGTCTGCGAGGTTTTGGCTGCTGGGTGGAAAGGGACCGTGCGGGCTGACTCGTTATCAGCAGCAGCAGCAGCAGATGCTGTCTGGCAGGCTGGTTCCACCGTGCAAACACAACACACTCCTCTCTGCTTCTGAGAAACGGATTTACCGAAGCAAGAGAGATTGTCAGAATTAATGCATGGACAGGGGGGGGGGGGGGCTCTGTGGTGGGGAGGGGGGAAGACCCGCGAGCTGCTGCTGCTGCCTTCAATCCAGAAGCAAGGGGGGGGGGTAGCTGGAGGATGATGGGGGGGGGGGTAGCTGGAGGATGATGGGGGGGGGGTAGCTGGAGGATGATGCGGGGCGTCCTGCGGGTGGGAGGCAAAGCAAGAGACGGGTTATGTTAGGGTAGGGATAAAAGAGGGATAGTGGGTGGAGGGGCAGGAGGAGGGATAGGGGTGGAGGGGGAGGCGTAGGGGAGGAGGAGCTCACAGAAGGCGAGGCTCAGACCTGCCAGAGATCATAATTGTCGAGAGCGAGCGTCGCGAGGCCACGGTGAGGTCTCCTCCGTGCTATGAAGTAGGGCCGTTGCCCGTAACGTCGCCTCATATATATTTGTTTGCATTTGGAGGCGGTGTTATTGACGAAGGTGTTGAGTTGACGGCCTGCCGCGTCACTCAACTCCGCATCAAGCAAGGCGACGCATGAACCGTGAGTCCGTCTGTGCGCGTGTGCATCACTCAAAGTGCACCTAGCATGGCACACACCGCCACTTAGTGGGAGAATGGCGGTTGCTGTTGTTGCTGCTGCTGCTGCTGTTGTTGTTGCTGCTGCTGCTGCTGCATGATTCACAATTGCGGGGAGCGGTAGTGCAGTGGCGGTCTCTCGCGCGTGGCATTTGAAGAGCGACTGACAAATAATTCTAACTGTGCTCAATTTGGCAATCCATTCGATAGCGTCTGGAGTTCCTGCGCGTGCGTTGTACTGGTAGGTCGACTCAGCCTCACATGAGCACCTGGTGCCGTGTGTAAACATCGCCACGGGGGAGACAAAGGCGGTCGGGCGTGGTGCTGACCACCCACCCCCTCGTGCGCCGTGCCGGCCTTCATAGGTGCTCGCAAACAGCACTTGCCCCTACAGTCTGTTACAGGCTACACGGGGGATCTTTGTCTTCCCCCTGGCTAGCGAGGTGAAATTGGATCAAACGACTCGTCTGCGACCTCGAAGTCGCCGGGAGGCCCTCATCCAGCAGTGGATAATCCGTGTCGACGGGCGCGTGATCGCGAGCGCACTGCGCTACGAACCCGGCGAGCTGCGATGTTTTTCCTTTTCCCGCGCACGGCGAACATCTCTGGGCCTCCCCTAGGTCGGCTCGGCATTAAAAAAAACGATGACCTGGTGCGATGTGTAAACATCGCCACTGGGGAGACAAAGGCGGTCGGGTGTCGCGCTTGCCACCGAACCCCCTGCCGCTAATAGATGCTCGCTAACAGCGCCCGCCCGCTCGCTCGCCCTCTCGTTTCTCATCGCCTGTGGTGGGACGCGGCGATGAAGCCGCAAGTCCCAGGCGGTGAAACAATCTCGAGTCCAGACAAACAACAACAACAACAACAACAAAAGCCCCCACCTCGAATCTGGCCTTCTTCTCGATTCGAGACCCCCTGCGCGCGGCGGCCGCGGCGTTCCCTTCGCCCCCATCGACTCAGCCGCGCTCGCAATGCACGGGGCGACAACGCGAGACACCGAGCCAGCCCCCCAAAGCCCCTACCCCCCCCGTGTCCGCTCGCTATCTCTCGCTCGCTATCTCTCGCTCGCTATCTCTCGCTCGCTATCTCTCGCCTCTGAGCTGCCTCGGCGGATTTGGCGAGGAATCTCTTCCCGTGGAGCTATCCAGTCAGATTGGTCGCGCACATTGCGAACTGCTCACGATTGCGCGCGCGCTGTCTTCACGGCCGAGAAGAGCGGTGGTGCAGCGTGGCCAGGGGAGTTCCATCTGAACGGAGAGTTCAGATGGAACTCATCTTAACGCAGAGTTCAGATGGAACTCATTTGAATGAAGAGTTTAGATGGAAATCATTTGAACGGAGAGTTCAGATGGAACTCATTTGAACGGAGAGTTCAGATGGAACTCATTTGAATGGAGAGTCCAGATGGAGCTCACCTGAACGCAGAGTTCAGATGGAACTCATTTGAATGGAGAGTCCAGATGGAACTTATCTTAATGGAGAGTCCAGATGGGACTCATCTTAATGGAGAGCTCAGATAGAACTCATCTGAACGGAGAGTTCAGATGGAACTCATCTTAATGGAGAGATCAGATGGAACTCATCTTAACGGAGAGTTCAGATGGAACTCATTTGAATGGAGAGTTCAGATGTAACTCATCTGAATGGAGAGTCCAGATGGAACTCATCTGAACGGAGAGTTCAGATGGAACTGCTTTTTGCGTGTTTAGTTTGTGTCCTTACCCCGCACCTCTGATTAGCACGGTTGGCTACGTACGGTGCGAAAGAAGTTGAACATACACACGTAAAACCATGGGAACCCCTGCTCTGATATGCGGGACAGAAGATGTTTCATGCGGGATGGAAGTTGCTTCACCATGTGCGGGCTCTCGCGGGAACCTCTCGATGTCCCTGAAGCTGAGCTGATAATATACATTCGTGTTTTGTGCGTTTGTGTGCCTGTCGCGATGTGTAAACGTCGCCACTGGCGAGACAAAGGCGGTCGGGCGTGGTGCTGGAACGTACACAATGTCACTCACTCTCAAAGCGTTACCATCACGCCACGCTGCTGGATTAAGGACTCCCTCCCCCCTCGCCACGTCGGTCATGGGGGTTGTTTGAACCATTCTTCACCTTCCTGGCCAATGCGGGTTGGTGAAGTGACTGTGGATTGGGGGGAGGGGAGAGGGGGGGGCCCAGACACCGGTTCAGGTGTCGTTCTGGAGCCACTGATTCTCGCCGTCGTCGCTGGGAGTCGAGCACAGGGGGGTCACCGGGTTCAGAGCGCGGTGCGTGCCAACCACTGCGCCTCCACTCTCCCACCATGCACCGGCCGTCATAACATTGGCGGAGATTCATTAAATTCGCCGAAGCGTTCGGTAACGACAGGCGAGCAAGCGGCCCCATTGTGCGAGCAAGAAAGAGAGTACAGACATTCTAAAGACAAAGATCCCCCCTATAGCCTTTACCAGACTGTTGGGGCAAGTGCTGTGAGCGTGCACCTACGAAGGCCAGCGCAGCACACGCCCGGCCGCCTTTGTCTCCCCAGTGGCAATGTTTAGACATCGCACCGGGCACTCATTTGAAGCTGAGTCGACCGAGCGGGCGGCCCAGGACCGGTTCAGATAATCGTCACCGGTGTTGGTGGCCGTGCGAGGGAATCGAACTCGGGTTCGTAGCGCGGCGTAGCGCTAACCGCTCCACCACCGCTCCCCACACACACTCACTCACTCTGCAGCGCCTCGTACGCGCGCAGCAGCAGCAGACGACCCAGTCGAGCATCAGTGGTCGCGGTGAGATGTCCGGCGACGCGGCTCGGTGAGCGGCCAGACTTGTCGAGACTCGAACATCGCGGCGGACTTTGTCATGTCGGCGATGGCGTGTGAAAGTGTGGAACGAAACGCGAGTCGACAGCTTTGCGAGGTCCTTTCAAAGGGAGCGAGAGACAAAACAACGACTTTTGAGCCGCTGATGTACAAATGCGTGGCGCGGTGAGACGACAACCCCGAGGGGTGCTGGTGCCTATGCTTCGTACTCGCGCGCCGGAGTCATGGACACGTCGACAACAAGGTGGGGGGGGGGGGCATTATTGTGCATTGTCGTAGTAGGTTGGTATATTCGTGAAAGTTGATTGCTTGTCCCTTTAGGGGTCAGCCTGCAAGTCACAAGGATTACTGAAGTTGGTTTGCGACCTATAGATGCGTGCAAGGGTTCATTCTGACCGGAAGAAACTTCGGACAATTTGTGTTGAATATCGGCCACGCACCTACAGGAACGCCCCGTGTACGATCCTTTGACGTACGTCAAAATCATGGTGGACATTGTTTTTGCGCTGTGAATCGGATGGGGTTCTAGAAACGTCTCAACTCTGTTTTTATTGCTCCACATGTATTTATTTATTTTAAAGTTGAAAACTGTTTTCTTTTTTAATGAAACAAAATCCAGATAACAATCTTAAAATGTCTACGAAGATTAATTCACCTCGTCCGTGTGACGGCCTGTTGCCGAATACTTTATTAGAAATCGCTCACCTGCTACTCACAACACTGCTAGTGACCACTCAGAATTATGATGGAACAACGCAAAGCGAATGATAAAATGGGAACAACAATAATTTACAGCCCTTTGTCAATGCGTTCTTGCATGAAGGGTCCCCCAGGCTGCATCGGCAATGGGGGTTGTTTAACCATACTTCCCCACTCTGGTCAGTGCGGCTTGTGAGTGCAGGGTGGGGGGGTGTTAGCCGTGGGTGGGAATCTAACCGAACCGTGCTGTCGGGTTCACATCGCAGCGCGCTAACCGCTGCACCACCGCTACTCCCGCCGGCGGAACTGAATCCACGGCGCTGTAATTGTAATCGAGTCCGCGTCGCGTGCGTTACCGTGCAGATCGAATGGTGGCCCAAGTCGCCTCTGGGTGTTTCCTGGGACAAAAGGGGCCTCTACGGTGGGGGCGAGTGGTGAGGGGAGTACCTGGGGTGGTGGTGGTGGGTGGGGGGCTTCTTCATGTGCGTCAGGCGATCGCGTTGTACACAAAGGCTAGATGGGGGGGGGGGGGGGCACCGTGACCCGCCACGGTAAACAGCGCTTTTGTTCCAGCGCTCGCGCGCAACGCGAGGAGCGAGCACGCGCGGCAGCAGCAGGAACCACGCGGCGCCCCGTCGTGGCCTTTGCACGGCCGCCGCCGCCGCCGCCACGTCCAATGCCAATGTCACGACCGCAGTCGACGATGCGGCGAGAGTCGTTTACAGGCCTCTGTCGACGCTGGATGACGGCAACGGGAGGCATCTCCGCGCCGCGTCGATCGCGCGCGGGCTGTTTGAACATCCATCAACAGCTGCGGGTTGGTGACCAAGGGAGCCGTTCAGATGTCACTCGCCACTGATGATAGCCGCGGCGGGTATTCGACCCTGGGCCACCGCCGCCGCCGCCGCCGCTGCCGGGTTCATACTGCAGCGCGTGAAGCCACCGTGTCACCCTCTCCAGCCTGAGTGCCACCAATGCCCTTGAGCGAGGACGGCCGAAATCTCAATGTGTTACTTTTTAGAAGAGTTCTCCTGCGTGGGAATGTTTGGCCAAGTTTCGCACTTTGAGTATTTGTCTTCTTTTGGGAATAATCTGGAGAACCGCGGTGGGGGGGGGGGAGAACTCCACCGCTGAAACGAGGGTGGCACCACCCCTGGTCACACCTCGCAGCCACACGCCTACACCACCTGGCAAGCCCTGGTGGTCGCTCATTCAAGTGCTCAGCCAACGCGATCCCATTCTATCCACGTAACGTAGATCATCATGATCATCATCATCAGCCATGACCAACGCACTGCTGGATGAAGGCCCTCTCGAAGCCGAGGTTCGAACAGAGCCGGCCGGTTCCCCTGGCACGGCCTTGCAATGTGCGTCTGGCAGAATTGTCACGCGGCCGTCTCATTCGGGGCTCCGCGGTGTCGTCCTCCCACGGTATCGGACAGACCTCCATCCCCCGCGAGGGGGTGAACATCGTTAACGGTGTCGCCCTCCCACGGTATCGGACAAACATCGTTAACGGTGTCGCCTTACTTCGCCGGCCGCGTACACGCACAACCTCACGCCCTCGGATCAGCCATCGTCGCGAATCACAATCCGCGCCACCGTCGTCATCTGACCTCCGCGAGATTCCCGTCGACGCCTGGCACGCACGCCACGGGGTTTGGAGGTGTGGACTGGACTCAGTCCGTGAGCCAACGGAGGAGACGTTTCACTCGCGGGCAGCGCTTGAGGCGGCAGTACTTTGAGCGGTTGCAATGTCTTGGCGTGGCCGACAACAGTGAGGCGTGCGATGACCCATTTAAAACGAGTTGGGGTTCACCAAGTGATTCGCTCGTTTTATTTATATTTCTAGCCATGTGAATGAGTACCTTTGGTGGTACCAATGTCTGCTCTGGCCCGTGGATTAATTTGGCCGTGTTGGGACCCGCGGGTTTAGGGTGTGGAGGCGCTGCGTGTCGGTGCGTGCGTGTGTGCAGAGAAATAACTACAATCTCACATTGTAGTTGGTAGGCTAACAGGACTTGCCCTCAACAGTTCATATGCCTATGGGGACCGGGGATCTTTGTCTTTGTCCGCGAGCGGCAGGTGTCAACGTGCGGAAATGTGCACACGTGTGGGAGTTGCGGGCACGCGAAATGGACAGCTGTAGAGACGCGTAGGAGCGCGCAGATGATGATATCCACACCTGTATACACGTACAGCCTTTGTGCCCATCCACTGCTGGATAAGTGCCTTCACCACGCTGGTCAGTGCGGATCGGTGAAGGCAGGAGAGCATACAAAGTAGGTGCATAGAAGTGCAGTACAACAATTGATTTTCCTGCACTGGCCCTCTATTATTGCCCACAAAAGATCACGGCCACCCGCCTGTAACAACCAGCCATGCGTGGTGGTGGTTGACCGTCGGGTCTCTCTCCAGGCTCAACCTGCTGCTTAGCGCCTCAAAACCTGACGAGATCACGCGCATTCCGGGCGATTTGGTCATAGGCGCTCACCTGTGTAGGCCCCCGTGAAAGAGTGACACCATAAATACGCAGACGCACACAGACACACACAGACGCACACAAACACACAGACACACACAGACGCACACAGACACACACAGACACACACAGACGCACACAGACACACACAGACACACACAGACGCACACAGACACACACAAACGCACACAAACACACACAGACACACACAGACACACACAGACGCACACAGACACACACAGACGCACACAGACGCATGCACCGCGTGCCTCGAGGCTGCGCATGCCACGCGCCGTTGGCCGGGGCCGCTGCGGCTCGCAGTGTAAACCTCGGAGCTCAGCTTCTGCCGTTCTTTGCCTCGCAGGTGGACAAGCGGAGACCTGGCCTCGCCGCTGCGATGATACCCCCTGCTGTCGCTGACCCCGCGACGGACGGCCGCCGCCCCCATCCGACGCGCGGCCGCTGGTAGCTCTCTCTGGCTGCGAGAAGTCCCCGAGGGAATCTACGCTTTGTGCGACGCGACAACCTGCACGACGGAGGGTGGCCGATTCCGCAAATCGACGATGCTCAACATGGATGTGCAGAGCAACGGACGCGCGCTTCTCCCCACCGCCCCGAGCGGATACGCCGCTCCGCCGGCACCACTGCCTCCTCCTCCTCCTCCGCCGCCACCGCCGCCACCACCGCCGCCCCTTCCCCCGTCCCTGGGCTTCACGGGAGTGACGTCGGGGGGCGACGGCCGGGCCGGCGGCGTGGACGCCAGCAAGAAGAAGATGCGCAAGTTCTTCTGGAACGTCATCCCCAAGGAACGCATCGAGGGCAAAGCGAACCTGTGGACCATGGGGGGTCGCAGCGACTCGATCGAGCTGGACACTCGGCGCATGGAGGAGCTCTTCTCCAGCGCGGACGCCGAGATCCGGACGGGGGCGGCCCTTGGCCTCGTGAAATCCCACAGCGCGGCGCGGTTGGCTAAGGAGGTGGGTGCTTTTGGCCATTGTGCGTAGATGTCGAGCGAGTGCGCAGGCGGTGCAACTGCACCGGGGGGCGGGGGGGGGGTACCCACGTGGGCCGGGGGGGCCCAGTAGCCGAGGTAGGAAGGTTGGACAGGAGCCCCCCCCTCCCCCCCCAGGGCCCATGGCAGCCACGTGACACCACTGTGGCTTTCACACCTGGTGATGATTGCTTGTGTTGCAATAGAAACGTCGTGATAATTGTATTGTTTGATATTTTTATTATTTAATTATTTTATTGTTTCCCTTCTACGTGACTTTACCGAAAGAACCAATAATATGAACACCAGTGTCTGTTGAGATGTGGTGAGATCAGGGATTAATTTTAGCTGGGTCGGTCTCGGTAAGCACCCTGAACATATTTCCCCGTCTGGCACACCACATCCAATAGACCTCGTGCTGTGGCTACTCATCACGTGCCTACTCGAATCGTTCGGTGTTATCACGGTTGGTGAGCAAAGACCCCAAGCGCCAAGATGCCAGTAACAATACTTTTGAGAATATAATAGATGAGAGTAAATATGTTTATTAACTAGAACATCATGATAAAAACTAGGAATTACAAAGTGGAGCGGTGTGAGGAATGAAGCAGCAAGTGTTTTGACCTCAGCGTGGCGGTTGACCTCAGCGTGGCGGTTGACCTCAGCGTGGCGGTTGATTTCAGCGTGGCGGTTGACCTCAGCGTGGTGGTTGACCTCAGCGTGGCAGTTGACCTCAGCGTGGCGGTTGACCTCAGCGTGGCGGTTGACCTCAGCGTGGTGGTTGACCTCAGCGTGGCGGTTGACCTCAGCGTGGCAGTTGACCTCAGTGTGGCGGTTGACCTCAGCGTGGCGATTGACACGAAATGGTCGCTCGAGAAAACCGAGTCGTCAAATCGACGAGTGACGCTCACGAGCACAGTGAGCACAGTAGCAGCGATAGAAGAGCTATAGGGAAGCAACAGGCTGCCGGTGAGTGATTGACGGGGGGCAAGTCGGTGAGTGCTGGATGATCAACCAACCTGATTGTGCCGGTGAGCCTGAGAATGTTCAGTCGGAAATGAAGCCCAATGGAAACACCCCCTCCCCCACCGACACCTCCCCAACGCCTCCTCGCTCAAGCGTCTGCGCAGTGAAAACAAAATACAAACAAAGCAACACAACAAAAGCCCCAACACGTCCCCGTGAAGTTTGCACAGCGCAACTTTCCATAGAAACGCGCGGGCCGCGTGACTCGAGCGGGGGGTGGGGGTTGTTGGGGGGGGTCAGAAGGTCAGGAGGCTCCGCTCAGTCAGCGCTCGCTGGCTGGGGGGCGGTGGCAGGTGGAGGGGTTGGTGGGGGGCACGGAGAGGGGGGTGAGTCTCGGAGTGCACGGAGGGGAGGTCACGCGTACGCTCCACACGACCAGGCTGGCCTCCTACCCGCCCCACCGTGCCTCTCCTCTCGGCCAAGCATCCCTGCGTCACGCCCAAGCCGCGACGTCGGAGCGCTTCTCTGCCCCGTTGTCGTCTGCCCTCACCTGCATCGTTAAAACAAAAACGACAATAATCGTTCTGGAATGCCACACGTAGCTCCGCGTTGATCGCTTCCCGCTGGCTAGAGATTCGGATGGCCTCTGCGCAGGCTCGAGCTTGATGAACTTCTGATACCTGACATGGTCAGATGAAGGAGCATCCCCCGGGTGGTACGAGCCTACGGAACTATAAGTTGCACCACTTGGAGGTGTGGGTAAGAATGTAGTTGGAGTGAACAATTTCGACACCCCCCCCCCCCCCAGTTCTCTACCCACCCCCACGCCGCCCCTCCCCCTACACTCCCAACCCGTGTCACCTTGTGACGAGGCCAGCGCGTGAGGGATGCCACAGGAACGCGTTGCCGCTCATGCTCAGTGGCCCGTGATTCATCAGGGCAGGGGCTCCGCTCGCTCGCTCGCTCGCTCGCCCAGTGATACAATCAGGGCGGCACCGAGCAAAAGGTGCTCAACTTAAACACTGACCTCCGTGAAATCCTTCCGAACGTTAACACAGCTCTTGCCCTACCCATTGGCAGTGTTAGCGGGGCTTATGCCCAGGCTTGGTAGAATTATAGTTAAGAGGTTTCTATCAAATGTAATGGGCGTTCAGGCTGTGACACCTGGTCTGGATGGGGTGGCCATGTGTGTGGTCAGGTATGTGCTGGCCCAGGTGATGGTGTGGCCAGGTAAGTGCTGGTCTAGGTGAGACCAGGTATATGCTGATCTAGGTACAGGTGTGGCTAAGGTATATGTTGGCCCAAGAAATGGTATGGTCAGATATATGTCGATCTAGCTAATGGTGTGGGAAGATAAATGCTGGCCAAGATACATGTAAAGCCAGCTATGTCTTGGGCAAAGCACAGGTTAAGCCAGGAATGTATAGGTCCAGATAATTGCGACGCTGCTTCATAAAAGACGACGTATCGTTGAGCGTCGCGTCCGTGTTACGTAAATCAAACAAGCGTCAAATCAGATGTTGCTAGGAGAGCCGGCATCTGAAGTCGGGTGCAGTATGGGTTGGATCATAACACTGCTTCCCAGGCAGATACGAATGGCTTGCCTGGAGAAAGGCAACGGGTATGAGAAGGAGATGATGTCTGCCTCTGCTACCGCAGAGCGAATGGTTGCCCACGATATCGTGACGAGGCTGATGGTTGTAGAGGGAAGCCTTCCTCCAGCAGTGGGTTCTACATAGAGGCCATCAGGAAAACGTTGGGCTCTGCACGTACTGTACATATTTAGACAAAGTTATATTTTGCAAAGGAGACTTGGGTGCAAAGAAAAGTATGGGACAGTGCAAACCCCGTGTGTAGGTTAGTTACCTTAACGTTTATTTTATTCACCCTCGCGATGAAATCTCCATGCTCCATGTTTACACAACACACCTGTAACAACAAATATAGTCACAACGTGCGGGTGGGCACATCGGGCAAACCCCTTCCGCCTCCACACTTGTTGAGATTTTAAATCATCGAGTTTGAAAAACTCATCTCTGTGGAACTGCTTTTTGTGTTTAGTTTACCCCACCCCCGCACCTCCGATTAGCACCGTTGGCTACGTGCGGTGCAAAAGAAATTCAACGTACACACACATACACACATACATACACATACAGACACACACACATACACACACACACATACACACACACATACACACACACACACGCACACACACACATACACACATACACACACATACACACATACACACACATACACACACACGCACACATACACATACACACGCGCACACATACACACACACACATACAGACACACACACATACACACATACACACACACACATACACACACACACGCCGCGCGTTACGAAACGGCCACGTTTGATGATCCCCGTGGGTTATTCATTTAACAGAGAGGTCCTTGCTGGCTGGCGGGCGGGCAAGCAAATCAATAATACGCGGCCACACTCACAAGGGCAGCCACGGATGGCAGGGGAAGAGCGGTGGTGGGGGCCCAGGGGCTGGGGGAGTTGAGGGGGGGGGGGGGTCCATCAGACGGCGTAGACTCGCTAGAGGCGATGGCTTCTGTGGTCTCCTTGTCGGGCGGACGCGGACAGAACGCCTCCTGTCGTGGTGTGGGTGTCGCCTCCTGGAATCTTCGTCACGAGGCGACAGTCGGGACGCCGATTGATTTTTGGTTTTCGCTGACCCAAAGCGACACGCGTGGAAATCTGATAACAGCTGTTCCGCAACAATCACCACCGGCACCCCTACCTACCTACCTACCGGCCCACGCTCTTTAACCTCCCGGTCTAGAGGCAATTCACCTCTGAGGTTTTTTAAAGTTCTGATGGCAGCAGGTTAGGTTCTGATGGCAGCAGGTTTAGTTCTGATGGTAGCAGGTTTAGTTCTGATGGCAGCAGGTTTGGTTCTGATGGCAGCAGGTTTGGTTCTGATGGCAGCAGGTTTGGTTCTGATGGCAGCAGGTTTGGTTCTGATGGCAGCAGGTTTGGTTCTGATGGTAGCAGGTTTGGTTCTGATGGCAGCAGGTTTGGTTCTGATGGCAGCAGGTTTGGTTTTGATGGCAGCAGGTTTGGTTATGATGGCAGCAGGTTTGGTTCTGATGGTAGCAGGTTTGGTTCCGATGGCAGCAGGTTTGGTTCTGATGGTAGCAGGTTTGGTTCTGATGGCAGCAGGTTTGGTTCCGATGGCAGCAGGTTTGGCTGACGCCACTTGATGCCTGAGCGGCCGGGCAGACGATGTGGCGGTTAGAAGGTTCGCCATTGTGAACCGTCAGTCATCGTTCATCACCGCTTCGTCGACATCGTGATCAACATTGCTATAGCTCATCATCATTAGCATCATCATCACAATGAGTGCCGTCATCGATCATCATTTTTAGCATCGCCAAATCATCATCACCACCACCATCATCCTCATTAGCATCACCACTTTGTTACCATCATCATCATAATTTGCATGACCACAACATCAATCACTTGCACCTCCGATGAGCACGGTTGGCTATGTAGGTGCGAACGACGTTGAACATACATACACTTCATCAACATGGGCATCATGTCACCATTATCATGGTGTATGTTGAACTTTTTTTGCACCATATGTAGACAACCATGCTCATCAGAGGTGCGGGGGAAGGACAACAAGCTAAACACTAAAAGCAGTTCAAAAGGAATTAGTTTTCAATCTAGATTCAAAATTGCATCATCAGCACATCACCACCACCATAATCACCATCATCATTACAAGGTTGATGTTCATCACTTTGTCAGTCAACGGCAGTTGTCCTCTGAATTGACGACAGAAAGACCGTCTCCCGCGGTGTGAGTGTGGGATCCCCACCACAGGCTCTGGACCGCAAGCGGAAATGAGCACTGCCGCACACTCATTTGAGCTTGAAAACGCTCTGACTTTTATTTTACCCTTAAACCTCTTTATTCTGGGGCGGTTGGGTGGGATGGAAGGATTTAGGCTGTGATCCCCTTCCGTGAATTGGGATCAACTCCTAACCACCTCACCCTCCCCCCCATCCCCTCGTGTGTGTGTGCATCTTGTGTTATAGGAAAGCCTCCTGGACTCCAAGCGCAGCATGAATGTTGGAATTTTTCTCAAGCAATTCAAAGGGTGAGTTCGATTGTTACCGAGCGCATTATTCATTGAACGCTTTTACCCTCTTTCCTTTTTTTTTAAACGAACGAGAGCTTTAATGAGTCACGGAAATAGCAGCGCGCATGGCTAGACACGTTAAACATTCATTGGCTTGCGACTCCACAGCATCTGCTAAGGGTTTCGTGCTAATTCACCTTGAGTGTCCACCCTCACTCAAACAAAGACCAAGATCCCCCACGTACAGCCTTAATAGACTGTTGGGGCAAGTGCTGTTAGCGAGCATCTATGAAGGCCGGCACGGTACACGAGGGGGTGGGTGGCCAGCACCACGCCCGACCGCCTTTGTATCCCCAATGGGGATGTTTACACACCGCGCCAGATACTCATTTGAGGCTGCGTCGACCTAGGAGAGGAGGCCCAGGACCGGTTTAGATAATCATCACTTGGTGTTGGCCGTGAGCGAGAATCGAACTTGGGTCGCAGGGTTTCTAGCGCAGCGCGCTAACCACTATGCCGCCACTCCCCACTCACTCCGCACACTCCATATTTGGCGTTTGAACATCTTAACACCTGTTTTATTGCCAGAAAGGGTAAAACATATTCTTATTTCAATAGTATGGAATCATGTTTGCCGTAACATTTTATCGTGGCTATACCATTTTTTAAATTTATTTCATTGTTTAACAAGCGCCGGGTACCAAAGCAGAAACCGTAGCAAGGTTGGGGGGGCACAGAAACCCCCGCGGGGGGGGGCAACATCCCAAACCCAGTGCTCCTCTGGGTTTTAGGAGAGGGGAGAAAATACAGGTAGTCCCCGACTTACGACGGAGATGCGTTACGACGACCCCATCGTAAGTCGAACATATCGTAAGTCGGGGACTACCTGTAGTGCTCACTGCCCCAGCCAGGTGGGGACTACGAGCCGGAGCGTCGGGGGGGGGGGGGGTGAAGGGAAGAAGAACAGAAGTAAGGGGGTAGAAGACGGGGGTAGGGGGGGGGATCTTGCGGATCGTTTAAACAAATCCTGTCTTGAGCAGTGAAATCGGCACGCAATTAGCTCCTCTTAACGCGCTGCAGCCTCTCCTTTCAACGGCTGCATCGCCATGCGGTTGTGGAAATCTCTCACCATTATCCCTGGCTCACTTCCTCGCCGTCTCCTTACTGTTTGTCCTCCCAATCACCACCGCATCATCTCACCACCACCACCTCCCATTTGCATCTCCATCATCTCACCACCACCTCCCGATCACTTATCCACATCTCCCAACCATCTTATCACCAACTACTGCTCTTCATCAACTCCCCCCAATACTTTCCACTATTTCCCAAACAATTCCTAACCATCCTCCCATCGCCTGCACATTCCCTCCACACCTCCTCAACCCTCAACCTGCTCACCATCTCCGCCCTCCTCCCCCGCCCACACCTCACAATGAAGATGTTTGATGTTTCTCCACTAACCGTGCCCTACCCCATCGAGCTCTCTGACCGCTCCGATCCGACACCGTAGATGAAACAAGCACAACAACAATTAATTCGAACCCGACTCTTTGACCACTCAGGACCCTGGGCCATGACGTGATCCAGGACATCCTGGAGTGCCGGAGCAAGGACTACGGAGCGGAGAGGCTCGGGGAGCTGCTCAAACTCCTGCCGCAGGCGGACGAGGTGAGGCTGCGATGACGGACGCCCTCCCTGAGGGTGGGTGGTGTTAGGGGGGGGGGGTGTCACGTGTAATACTCAGCTCATCTTCCCGTGTTTACTAAAAAACAATCCACAGGTCCTTGTCATTCCACTTAAGGGGGGAGCCAGGACCGATTCAGATATCACTCGCTGTGCACTAACCACTGCGCCACCACTCCACCACCCCTTTTACGGTCCATTCACCGATATCCCCCAATTCAAGTGCTTTGCTGGCTAGTTCTCATGATAAATGTGTCTCCGTGTTCTCCACGTGTCCCCGTGTGTCTCAGCACGCCTGTGTTCCATTGCCGCTGTGTGTCTCCACGTCTCCGCGTGGATGGGGTTGTCCCGCTGCTTGTCCCCATGTCCCCCGTCGCGTCTGCGCGGACCGGTTGCCAGGTTGTCCCTGTGTGTTCTCTTACGTCCCAAATGCCCCGGGGCTTCAAATATTTCACCGAATATTTTAGAGCTCGGTGGCAGACTGAATAGCCGGAATAGCCGCAGCCATAGCGAGAGGCGAACTGGATGTGGTGTGCTGGGCGCAGACATATGATCAAGAGCAATAAGGCCCAGTGGGCCTTACCTGGTGGAATAAAATAAATCGTTTAGTTTTATTTTCCAGGTCGCCAACCCAGACAGACCCAGCTGAGATTCAGCCCGACGTCGCTGGGTTTCCCCGCACGTCTTCCTGGGGCCGTGTGGCCGCTGTGTCTCACTCGTCAACGTGTCCCCCCCCCCCTCAACACCACCCCCCCACCCCCATCCCACCACGTGCACGCCCCCCGTTGGTGCTGGCCACAGCTGAGTCAGCTGAAGCAGTTCCGCGGAGACAGGAGCCGGCTGCCGGCTCCCGACGCCTTCATGCTGCTGCTGATCGAAGTCCCCTGGTAAGTGAAGGCCCTCCCCTCCTCATCCCTCCGCCTGCCGTAGACTGAGCCGGGCGCGGTGGCACGTGCCTCTGTGGCCCGCAACTTTTGGGGGGGGGGGGGTCCAAGGGTTTATCGTACCGATAAAACTCCCGAAGCCGCCGGATTGTTGGGTGACAGGAAGAGATAGCAGTACAGCAAGCGGGTTCGTGAAACTTTTGAGCGTTCTCCCCGCCCCGTGGTTGGGTTTTCTGCGGGTACTCCGGTTTCCTCTGAGGCGTCATCTTCTAAGGGGATTCTCTGGCACAGGGTGGTACACTGGCAGCTGCAGGAGTGCCATATGGATATTTATTCCGTCTCGTGTCACGACATTGAACGCACGACTGGAATATAATTGGGAAATTAACCAAGGAACTAAGAAACATAAGAAACAACGCAGTGAATAGGGTTCAGTGTTTGTTGGCAACTAGTTAGAGGTGCTGGCTGTGGGATAGATTGCAGCAGGCTGCAATTACGCTTTTAAACTACAGTCTTCGGCGATAAGCTGCCTGCCTTGTTTAATGTACAATTGCCACAGAATGGGTGGGTACTTGTGAAACAAATAAAATGGATAAAAGTATTCCTTTCGGATATGAGAGGCGCGGCGCTTTGTCCTTGGTTAATTTATGGGAACGCGAGGTTATTTTACGTTCAGCTTAGCGGCTTAATTCCTTTTATTCGGTTGAACTTTGAGTTTCGGTTTCCATTTGACAAACATTGTTCATCTGCAAAGTGGAGTGGATTTTTCACACAACTATGCGGTGTGGTCGGCACTGTACCTCAATCAGCCTTGCAGGGGTTTTTTTCATTTTAAACTGAGTCGACCTCAGGAAAGCACAGACCTAAGACACACATCGATTGCCACTGGAATCCAGCCCAGTTCCAGTGAATGGTGGCCTGAGCCAACACACACTCACACACTGACTCAGACTGCAAATAAATCTCCTGTGGAGTTTATCCTCGGAGCTTTAACGTGCCAAGTGTTGTTAGCGAGCACCTGCTAAGGCTCAAAAGACACAAAAAGTCGGGGATGTGCACGGCGCTCCTCCCATCTGGCTTGTATACCTGCGTGTGATGTTCACACACCACATCGCTCGTGCTTTGAGGCTGAGCTGACCTAGGGGAGACCCAGTACATGTAGCCTGGGTCAACAATTGTCGCTGGTGATCGCAGAGCCACTTGACGCGCGGCTCTCACGCAAACGCAGCGGCGGCGGTGTTCAATAACGGCGAGCTGAATAGGTCTGCCGTCCCTTTGGGAGCCCACGTGCGCACGTGCGTGCGCGTGCGTGTGCGTGTTCACGCGCACGTAGGGGCGGGCCGCGCGTACGGCTCGAGCGTCACGCTCATTCACTGCCCGAGTCTCCCATTCACGCTCCGTGTGCCACTGTCACCGACGATGATGAATAGAGTCGGGGCACTGAGAGCCTCTCTCTCTCTCTCCCTCTCTCCAAACTCAAGCGGGAGCTCGCGTCTCCCACGACCGCCGTCCGCAGGCGTCACTCGGCCGCTCCTAGCAGCAGCAGCAGCAGCACCCCTGACCCTCACCCCCCCACCACCCTATCCAGAGGCGAGGGCTTGTTGGCAAACAGAAGGGTGACGTTCTGCTGGCGCTTGCGTCACATCTTAGAGCGAGAATAAAGCGCGTGACGCAATTTAGCGGGGGGGGGGGGGGGGTCGCGAGGCACCGCTCGGACTCGGGGGTCCTCACAAAGCGGAGCTCGAGTGACGGGCTCTCTCGTGGCGCCGCGGGTCACGACGCTCGCTCGCTCGCTCGTGTCTTCCACGGTGCCCACGTGCGCACCCGTTGGTTCATTAGCGAGCGCATGGAAGGAGGATGCTGGGCGAACAAAGTGGGGGGGGGGGGGGGGGACGAGCTGGCGCCGAACGCGGGAACGTTTCTCGTCCGTCTTGCTCGTGGGCTGAGACAATCTGGTCGGACGTGTGCCGCGCCGCGGATGTGGTGAGGCTATTGACGCGCTGTTGTCGACGCGTTGCGTAACGCCGGGACGGTGCGGCGGATATTACATTTTCTGTTTTGTTTCTTTGAATCGCGAGGCTCACATCCTGCCATCGCGATGGTTAATTTTATTCAAGGGGCTTGCTCTGAGCCTGTGGTACAAACTCCACATTGCTATGGCGAGGGCGAGTCTATCCATAGGACAACCACTGCGGACTTCTCCACAGAGTCGTATTTCGTTTTATCCACCCCGGAGGCATGATGGGCCGAGTGAAACACCGAACCGGGGGTTTGAACTCGCAACGTTACAATCGCGAGCCGCTCGCTCTGCCGCCGAAGCCACCGGGCCCGGCCATTCACGACAAAGTCTCGTGCCGCTTAGTCGAGACGAGCGGTGGGGTTGGCCGCCACGGAGTGGAACGCGGTCGAGAGGACGTCCGCCGAGGAGATGGATCGGCGGAGCATGGCGCCAGGCGTCTCGTCACATCGCGCCATCGTTCGAGATGGCGACGGCTTGGGGAGGCCTTCCTTCGGCAGTGGATTGATCACGGCTGATGACGATGAGTTACTCGGTTTGGGAATAATGGACTCTTTTTTAAATAGCCTGTTCTCTACGGTAGAAAGTGTCGTGGCTTACAAGTGACACTGACCTCTGCGTCCTCAGTCCAGAGTGGGATTAGTGTGGCATCTGAGTTTTTGAAGTGGCCAGGCACGGGAGATGTCTGTGCCGTGACCTCCACGCTTATGGGGTCATGATCAGCACTTTAATGCGTTGCGAAGGCGCTCGGTGACAAGTAGCTGACCCCGTTAACTCGTCACCGCCACCTTCGCAAAACACGGCGAGGTGTAAACAGGTTTAACGTCCCTGTTGTGTGCGCGGCTAACACATGCACACACGCGTGTGTGCATGTGTTCGTAGGTCAGTGACGATTATATGAACCGGTCCTGGGCCTCCCCTAGGTCGACTCAGCCTCAAATGAGTACCTGGAGCGATGTGTAAACATCGCCACTAGGGAGACAAAGGCGGCCGGACGTGGTGTTGGCCACCCACCCCCTCGTGTGCTGTGCCGACCTTTATAGGTGCTCGTTAACAGCACTTGCCCCTACAGTCTGTGAAGGCTATACGGGGGATCTTTGTAGGTAATGTCCTGTAAGATGTGTGTATACGAAGTGCAGACAAATAGTCTTTGGGAACACGACATTGTCAAATAATAAAATTAGCACAATCGCTCAACCTATTTTGTCTCCCTAGCCCAGGGGGTCAGCAACCAAAAAAACAAGAAGAAGCCATTTTCATTTTTTTTTCGAATTCGGTTAAACAATAACTCAGTATATCGAGAGCCAGCAATGCACGTGGCGAACGCGAGACGGTGGTTTCTTGATAAATTAACGCCACGAAGCAGTTTCTCAAAGAGGCGGAGGATTGTCCCAGCCCCATGGGGCGTGAACAAGTACAGCAGCGTGAAGTGCCGGCCCCGCTTTCCCAAACGCCTGTGACCGCCCTTTGCGGCCGGAGCCACCGCCGACGGCGGCACGTCCGTCCACCCGTGGACGTGCTGGTGCCGTCACTTGGCAGCCAAATAAATGAGGTCGTACAATTAATTATTCGACGTTGCCCGGCAGGGTCAGTTTCAGCACGTTCCATGGTTGAGCTGCACCACGCGGCAACAGTCTGTGCCTCTTGCCTTCACCAACCCGCACCGAGCATCGTGGCAGAGTGCAGTCAGATTATACCCCCCACCCCCTCTGCCATATCCAGCAGTGGAGTGACAGACTGGCTGTGCTCGTGCACGTCTTGCCATTGGGAGAGGCTAGTCGGTCGAAACATCGTTTTATTCTTCTTCTTCCTGGCGCAGAAACCCACAATCGCGTCTTCACTGCAAAGTATTTAATGGTGCAATGATTCTGCGAGAAAAAAAAAATCGCAAACCGATCTCCGCTTTGTGCACCGCAATACGGGAGGAGGAGCGCTCGTTTGGGACACGTTCACGCGCCGTGAACCTGAACCACCTGCGTCTTGATGCCCAGAGTGGTGCGGTGAAATCCGAACCTGGTCCTGGGACCCACTCCCTCCCTCTCTCCCTTCCCCACACTACCCAATGTGGTGAAGTATGGTGAAGTTTCGATTTAAAGCTTTCGTGACTGCAGGGATTTATATTCTTGGTTCTTTCGGTAAAGTCACGTATTTTATTACTTCCCTTCCACGTGACTTTAGCAAAATAACCAAGAATATGGTGAAGTTGTTCCCCGCCCCCCGTGCCAAGATCAAAATGTCATGGGAAGGAGGTGGATTGACCCCGGTTTGTAAATTGTGTGCAATGATTATACACACACGATAATTATACACACACACACACACTGATTATACGTACACACACGTGCTCAGCTTCAATGCGATTATCTAAGCACCGATCCAGTGCTAATCTTCTGGCGCGTTGCCTCTACTCGCCCGGACCACAGGACGATAGCCTGCACTGATGGCGAAGAGGGTTTACCTTCAGCATGCATGGGCTCGCCGTGTGTGTTAGCGTGTGCACGTCCGAATGTGTGCATGTGTATCCGTGTCTGTGGGGAGCAACAGCACTTGCCCCAACAGTCTGTTAAGGACTAGATTTGAAGTTTTCGTGACTGCAAGGATTCATACTCTTAGTTTTTTCGGTAAAGTCACGTAGGTAAAAAAATGATATTACAATTAATAAAATAAAATAATAAAAATCACGACGTTTGATACAGCAAATCTGGCTGTGACGGTCCCACGTGATGACGGAGACTTGTGTTGCCTCCGAAACGTCGTGATTTTATTATTTTATTTTATTAATTCTAATTACATTTTTTTACCTACGTGACTTTACCGATAAAACTACGAGTAAGAGTGTAAGTCTATTAAGGCTATAGGGGGATCTTTGTCTTCGTGGAGAGCGGTCGTGCAAGGGTTAGCGCGCAGCGCTACGAACCCGGTGACCCGGGTTTGATTCCCGCTCAAGGCCAACACCGGTGACGATTATCCGAACCGGTTCTGAGCCTCCCCTAGGTCGACTCAGCCTCAAATGAGTAACTGCTGCGGTGTGTAAAGATCGCCGCTCGGGGGACAAAGCCGGCCGGGCGTGGTGCTTGCCACCCACCGCTCCGCGTATCGCACCGGCCTTCATAAGTGCTCGCTAACAGCACTTGCCCCAACAGTCTGTTAAGGCTATACGGGGGAAGGGGGGGATCTTTGTATTTATCTTTGTTTGTGTCTATCCCTGCATGCCTTACGCCTGTTTCACTCCCGGGGGACCCCATGGTTACAGGCGTAATCGGGGACGCGCTCCTGCCACGTGCATCCAAAGACAAAGATCCCCCATATAGCCTTAACGGACTGTAGGGGCAAGTGCCACGTGCATCCACACGCACCGCCCCACACGCGCCATCCCTCCTCGCAGGAACGCAGCAGCTGGGGTGCTCGTGACGACGATGATCTGGGGGTTGCGTCCCACTGAAGATGAAATCAAATGTCAAGTGCAGAAGTTGTCCCAACCGCGCGAGCGGCTTGTCCCTCGTCTCGCCACCGCTGGTCGACGTCGACGGCAGGTCGAGTGACTGCTCGTCGTGCGTGCCCAGTGAGTTGTAGCGGTGGAGGCGTTGCCGCGGCGAACGAGGGCTATCGAGGAGAGATGGAGTTCGTGAACGTTTGCATTTTTAAGGGTGCAGTTTAATGAAGTGTCTGTAGGTATTTGAGGAACACTTTGGTCATTTTCAATGCGGTAGTTTTCAGAACGTGATGAAAATAGTGGCCACACTTTTGTGTAAAATGATAATGACGTTATATAACTTAATAACATTTAATAATGCGCGTTTTAATTTAATTAATTTGATACTGTTAATGATAGGGTTGAACGACACGCAAAAGTATGCTCACAGACAGCAGCGAGGCATGACTCCCACCGCATGTATGGTACTGTACAACACGCACCTTTGCGTGTTGTTACATCTCTGGAGTTGGCGGTCTAGACAAGGCTGAGAGCATTGCACGTGCAATGCGCCGGTCACGTGACTTGTACGCAAGGCCGAGGCAGGGCCGCGGGGCCTCTGCTGTGCGCCGAGTGGTGGCCTCTGGTCGCGTCCAGCCCTCGCGGCGCTCCCTTCGTTTGTCACGAGGTTCACGATGAGGGTTGTGATGAGGGTTGTGATGAGGGTTGTGGTGAGGTGTGTGATGAGGGTTGTGATGAGGGTTGTGATGAGGGTTGTGATGAGGGTTGTGATGATGCTTGTGATGAGGGTTGTGATGAGGGTTGTGATGAGGGTTGTGATGAGGTTCGCGATGAAGTTTGTGATGAGGTTTTTCTCGCCATTTACAGAAAGCGTTGGATTGGAACAATTTTTTTTTCTACATTTGGTTGATGATTACTTTTTTCCCCCCAAACGGTGTTTCTTACCTGCGTGCCATTACATTCAGCGCCTAACTTAAACCCATGTCTCCCTTGGCAACAACAAAAAAACTTTAAAAATATCTATTTTGAAATGTACAAACACAAGCGAATAAAAGCCGTGGTCGTGAACACGATGCCGTCGATTTCTCCACGTCGGAGTGTCTCCCCAGGGTGGCGTTTAGCTCTGGCGTCGGTGGTCCAAAGCCATTTTTGGTGAAAATTCCCAAAACGCACAGAGCTGCTATTGTGATGGGCGCGTGGCACTCATTAACCTACACCAATTTTAACCGTCGCCAGCTCTGTTGACAATGCTGTGTGCGATGGTTTGCACGCTGTTCTTCCAATGTAGAGGTCCGTCGGTCTGTTTCGATTTCCCGGCGCGGCAGTTTTGTATAATGAGCTATTATCTTAAATGCCAACACCCCCTTCCCCCCTTCCACTGCTGCATACGTCCATCCAGCAATGCGAATGACGACACCCACAGCGAAACTGATCGACAGGTCACACGTGGTGGTGGGGTAAAGTGTGGGTACTTCCACTTCTTCCAAGCCGTCTGGCCGGCGTGGAAGAGGAGGCCAAAACACCTTGTAAATGCGCCGTCTTCCACAGCTTCGCTTTTTGGTGGAGTCCCTTCCGCCAGCAGCAGCGGCGTTGCACCTTTGCCACTGCAGCTGATAAAGCAATGTCGTTGCGTGCGCCGGAGTTCTGATCGAGCTGCTCTTGCGCGTCTCCTGTTTTGTGCCTCTCTCTCCTCGTGCTGCAGCTACGAGCTGAGGCTGCAGCTCATGGTCCTCAAGGAGGAATTCCACCCCACGGTGGCCTCGGCACGCGACGGAATCCGCGTGGTGCGCCAGGCGGTCACAGGTACGGAGCCCCACCTCTCTCTCTCTCTCTCCCCGCTTCCTACTCGAGATGTTAACTACCTCGCCTGGTGTGTCTCTCTCTCTGTGGTCGCGTGGATTTTTATCCGGGTACTCCGGTTTTTCCCTCCACATTTACAATCAAAGTCATGCGTTCAGAGTATTTGGCTGCTGTAAATCTCCACGTGATGACAAGCCACTTGGTTGAGCTATCATTTGTGATAACCAGGTCGCTTCTGAGAATAAGAATTATATAGCTCAGTGCACCTTGTAAAATAGAATAAGAAAGACGTACCGCTTTAGTTTGTAACGCTAGCGTGCAGCAGCGCGCATCACCGTCATCGCTGACCCTTCCCACCCGAGCGGCGCTCCGCTTTCTTTTGACGCGCGGGGGGAATCATTGTCTCCTTGGGGTTTTGTGTTGTTGTGTTCTTTAAAAACTCTCTTTCTTTTTGACACTTCGCCTTTGAAGTTAAGCGCGTGGGGGATGTGCGGGCGAGCGGGCGGGCGAGTGGGTGAGCGGGGTATCTCCGGTGTCAGCGAGCTCACACGGCCGGGTTACCGACGGCCCCCATGCCAGGTGTGGCCCCATTGAGAAAACTGGAACGCGGAGGGAGTGGGAACTGCCCAGGCACATCTCCACCACCCACCACCCAAGCCGTGCGGGTTGTTTGACCATACTTCACCACCAGTGGTCAGTCCAGGTCGGTGAGGGAGGAGTGGGTGCCCAGAATTGGGTTTTAGTAATTAAAAAAAAACACAAGCCAGGTGCCACAGCGACCACTGACGATAGCTGTGGCACACTGCCACTACCGCCCCACCCAAACCTGAAGTTGTTTCGCCTTTCACGACCGCTACTCCCACTGTGTGCTCTGATTTATGCGTCGTCCTCGTTTTTATTAATATATGAATGGGGTCTGTAAGGTACGGCTTGATTCGGCTCCAGCCTCACGCACCGTGTCCTAATCAATCAATCAAATCTGTATTTTGCGTGCCAATATCGCCGTCAGGATAGTAGGCGTCGGTGCGCATTCATATCAGAACGGGAACGGTACAGGGGCGTGGAGCAACAGAATCAGAATATTTATTTATACTGCAGGAGGAATCCGATGAGCTAGAAAGCTCTTTTTCACACATGTCCAGTCGGGGCACGGGGTCAGAACGTCACAACAACAACAGGACAACAAACCTCGATAGCAGTGCAATGTACAGGAACGGAAAGAAAATGACTTACAACACAAAAATATATACGAATGCCATTACTCGCCAAATATGAAAGGATGCACGCACATATCTAACCCGCTCGCGAGTTGGGATGGTCCTTTGAAAAGACGTGTGCGCATTTGTATCGGTCACTTAGATGTTTTGTTACAACAAAGTTTCACGCGAACAAACGGGCACTCACTCGGATGAAAGAGGTCACCGGAGAAGCGGCGCTAATCGATGTGAAAGTTCCCCGCGCCGCTGACCCAGCCGCAACTGTTTTTGATTTCTCCGTCGCTTTGGAAACCCAAGTCGGGCTCGAGCAGCCTCGGGCGTTTCTTTTTATTAAATCTGAAAATGCCACAAAAAAAAAACGAATCCGCAAAATGTTAAACATGCATCCTCACAGCCAGGGGTGGATCCAGCAGGGTGGGTTGTTCACGTGTGAAGAGGAGGAGGAGGAGGTTCACGTGTGAGTGGAGGAGGAGGAAGACGTGTTGGCGAGTATCGGTGTCACGTGGCAGGGGTGCAGGCGGCGTGTTAAGCGTTGCGTAGCTGGGTGGCTGGGTGGCTGGGTGGCTGGGTGGCTGGATGGCTGGGTGGCTGGGTGGCTGGGTGGCTGGGTGGCTGGGTGGCTGGGTGGCTGGGTGGCTGGGTGGCTGGGTGGCTGGGTGGGTATGTGTGTATGTCGGACTTGTTTCTCACCGCACGTAGTCAGCCGTGCTAATGGGAGGTGCGGGGGAAGGACAACCAACTAAACACAGAAAGCAGTTCTCAAGAAATTAGTTTTCACTCTAGATTTGAGAGTGCATAGCTCCCAAGTGGCCTCCTAATATCGGAAGGAAGAGCGTTCCAGACGGCCGCAGAAGCGCATCTGCAAGCGCGCGATGCGGTGACCACCGTCTTCGTTTGATGGTTCTCCACAAGCCGCTGCTGCGAGGGTGACTGGAGTTTCCGTGGTGGTGGTGGTTTATGCTCCGTGACAAGCTTGGTTGCTGGTGGCTGTGTTGCTGGCTACCTGGGTGGCTGGCTGGCTGGGTGGCTCAGTGGGTGGGTGACTGGCCAAGTGCTTTTGTTCAGGAAAAAAAAATAAACATGAGTTGCACCAAAACTGAGGATCAGGGACCCTGAGTGTGTACAACCTAAACAAACCAGGGCGGGGGTTGCGGAGGGGGGGGGGCCCACGTGACCCCCAACTTTACCTGTTGTCCCGTCAACTTATGTTAACCAACCGGTTTGCAGGAGCCTCCACGAGTCTCCATTTCGGAGATGCCTACAGCCCGTCCCAAATGAATGCGCACACCGCCAATGGCAGTACCGGGGCTCCCGTGGGCCAGGGGGGCCCAGGCGAGAGACTATGAAGTTGCCGGGGAGGGGGAGGGAGGCGGGGGAGGGGGGGGCTGTTTCGTTTCTTGCACCAGGGCCCATAGCAAGAGTCGCTTCACTCACTGCACGCTGGGCCACGCAGACAGAGACGAGCAGGTTGTCCGCGTGCCTCGCACGTCTTGAGCGTGAATCAGGGGCAGACGGACCGAGGGAGGAAGCAGATCGCTCGTTTGAAAATGTCGCCGAGGCAGCAAAAAGTTTGGGAGTGTGGTCGGCCTGGGCCTCGGTGCAGGGAGTGAAATGGGGCATCCTGTCCACCTTGCCCCCACCCCACTCCTCTTACCAGCCCCTTCGGCACCATGGGACCCAGCGCAGTTGCACCGCCTTCACACTCGATAGCTACGCCAATGGCCATGAATGGCATCAGTGCATGTGCCGCCCACCTGGGCAACACAATGAGGTGTTGGGGAGCGGTAGTGTAGTGGTTAGCACGCTGCACTATTCCCGCTCACGACCAACACCGGTGACGATTATCTGAACCGGTCCTGGGCCTCCTCTAGGTCGAATTGGCCTCACATGAGCACCTGGTGCGGTGTGTAAACATCGCCACTGGGGAGACAAAGGCGGCCGGGCGTGGTGCTGGCCACCCACTCCTTAGTGTGCCGTTCCGGCCTTCATAGGTGCTCGCTAACAGCACTTGCCCCAACAGTCTGTTCAGGCTATAGGGGGGATCTTTGTCTCTTTTTTTTGTGTGTGTGTCGGCGGAGTGTGACGCTTTGCCGGCGGTTAGCGAGTTCGCAAGTTGTGACCCGGTTGACCTCAGCCGTGTTCCCCTCCTGTGACCCGCAGAGCTGCAGGCGTGCGAGCAGCTCCACAAGGTGATCCACCTCGTGCTGAAGGCAGGAAACTACATGAATGCGGTAGGTCAACTGCCTCGATCCCTGGCTTGAAAGAAACAAGATAGAGTGCGCATGCATCACAAATGCATGCGCCGCAGTCAACATCGGTGGCGACGATCTATCTGAACCGGTCCTGGGTCTCCCCTTGATTGGCTCGGCTTTAAATGAGTACATAATGCAGTGTGCGAAGCATCGGCACCGGAGAGACAAAGGTGGACGGGCGTGGTGCTGGCCACCCACCCCTCCCTGTTGCCCGTTCCGGCCTTAATAGATTGCTCGCTAACAGCACTTGCTCCAACAGTTTATTAAATGCTTTACGGGGGAACGTTATCTTTGTATATACCCAGTACTTACAAGCAGGTGTATATATTTTTTTCTGCTTGACATTTTGATTTTATATAAGCGCAAAATATCTCGAGTGGTAAAATAGCAGGCTGTGTGTTCCGAGTTCGCACGTTCAAATTACAATGATTATGGCCGTCGCCCCGGGACGATATTTACGATCAACACGGCGGCTGCTGTTGTCCTCCTCCTCGTCCCCCCCCTCCTCCCGCTGACGCTCAACGAACCGCGGCTGACGCCACCGCCACTGTTGTCCCAACCCAGGGAGGGCACGCAGGAAACGCCGCGGGCTTCAAGATCACGTCGCTGCTGAAACTCGCGGATACGCGCGCCAACAAGCCCGGCATGAGCCTCATGCACTTTGTGGTGATGGTGAGTTCGGGAGAGCGTGGCGCGCGTGTGCGTGCGCACGCAACGATCCCCCGTGTAGCCTTGAGTAGACCGACGGTGGCACGTCGCACCAGGTACCCACTTAAGGCCGAATCGACCTAGGGGAGGCACAAGACCAGTTCAGGTGTCACTCGAAGCTGATGATAGCGTGGCGCAGTGCGTGACCCACCATGCCACTCGCGTGGTGTCGCTCATGCTTACAGTGACACGTCGCTCTGTGTGCATGTACACACCGCGTCACTGGCACAACACAAAGTCGTCTTTACTGACACCAAGGGTGCACGCACCAGGGCACTGACACACAATTGCTGGCACAGCGGAAGATTGGCAGTAATAATCTTTCATTTTATTCAACCGAGAAAAAAAAAACTCCCTTCTTCCGTTGTTATGATTGGCCAATTCCATTTTTGAGTGTTTGGGTGCATGTGGGAAGAAACGGGAGAAAACCCCAGGCATGTCAGGGGATAACACTCAAAGCATGGCACGCATGGATTACATTCGCTGCTGCTGGATTGCCATCTCAAGCCAACAAACACCCCCCCGGTATCCCCAGGCGTTCTCCCATCCAAGTATTCGCCAGGCTCAACCGTCGCGTAGCTTCCGACTTCTGACTACGTGGCAGCATATAAATGCGGCACGAGACATTGGATGTCGATGCACTGGCCCCCTGCTGTCCACCGCGGAGCCCCACAGCCACATGGCAGCCCGCTCTGTCAAAGTCGCCGCGCACCCGAGCAATGTCCACGCTCAAATCTGCTTGGCTTGCGGGAGATCTGACGAAGAGCGAGCACGTTCAGGGCGATTTGGTCGTTGGCAATGTTACACGCATCTGCACACACACGCACATACTCCACACTACTGACACACACACACACACTCCACACTACTGACACACACACATCACAATACTGACACACACACACTCCACACTACTGACACACACACGCACATACTCCACACTACTGACACACACGCACATACTCCACACTACTGACACACACGCACATAGTCCACACTACTGACACACACACGCACATACTCCACAACTAATGACACACACTGCACACTACTGACACATGCACACACTCCACCCTACTGACACACACGACTGACACACGACTGACACACGCACACACTCCACACTAGTGACACACACGCATGCACACACTCCACCCTACTGACACACCGCACACACTCCACACTACTGACATGTACACACTCCACCCTGCTGACACACGCACACACGACTGACACACGCACACACTCCACCCTACTGACACACACGCACACACTCCACACTAGTGACACACACACACACTCCACCCTACTGACACACACGCACACACTCCACACTAGTGACACACACGCACGCACACACTCCACCTTACTGACACACACGCGCACACTCCACACTAGTGACACACACGCACACACACACTCCACCCTACTGACACACACGCACACACACACTCCACCCTACTGACACACCGCACACGCGCGCGCACACACTCCACACTAGTGACACACACGCACACACTCCACCCTACTGACACACCGCACACGCGCGCGCACACAAGAGGAGGGGCACTGGCGAACACGCTCGCACGCGTTTACCGCGAAGCGCGCAGGATGCGGTGAACCCCGTTCAGCGGGGTGAACCCCGCGGCTGTCCTCGCGGAGACGAGGTCCCCCCCCGGGGCGCGCCCCGAGCGAGCTGCTCGTCTCGCCACTCGCGATCGGCTCCCGCTGCTGCTCGCCGCCTCTCCGCACGCGCCGCGTGAAGTTTCATTCCGCCCGTGGGTAGCGCAACGTTAGGGCGGTGGAGCGGTGGCGCGGTGGTTAGGGCAGTAGCCCGATGCAACCTCGTGGTTGTTTAAAGTTGGGGGGGGGGGCAAATAAAAGCTTAGGGGGTGCACGAGACACTGCCCCCCCCCCACTACCACCCTTGACTCACAAAGCATGGGGTAGAGCTTGCAACTGGCTGACCCCATGCCCCCGACTGCACACTTGTGAAAAAGAGCCTCAGTGGCTCATCGGATTCCTCCTGCAGTCGAGATGAAGATTCCGATTCTGAGCTTCGTGCCCCAGCAGGATTAACACTGACGTTGGGCATGGCTGGGGTGAATAAAACTCCAACGACTGCGTCACTACTGCCCACTAGCTTTTTCACCCGGTATAATTAGCCAATGTCGATTGACATTGCACTTGCGCGCGAATATCAGCATCGTCCCTTCACTTATTTGTATTTAAATATATCTACTATCTCGACCAAGATGTCTGGCCAGAGGGGAAAAGTAGGCCAAAAACCTAAGAGGGTCTATGTTGAGCTACCCCAAGTGCTTGCCCTTCCCCCAGCAGTGGTGAGAGTGAGCAAATGCAGCGCTGCACATTTTTTTACCTTTCATATGAACTATGTCAATGCATCTATAAAAGTGAGTGCAATTTACGTCGACTCAACCTCAAATGAGCACCTGGTGCAGTGTGCAATCATCGGCACTGGGGAGACAAAAGCGGTCGAGCGCCGTGCCGGCCTTCATAGCTTCTCGCTAACAGCACTTGCCCCAACAGTCAGTTCACGCTGCACACCTTCCAATTAGCGCGGTTGGCTACGTACTGTGCGAAAGAAGTTCGACGACCACACGTGCTCTGATCCACGTGATTGCCACGTGCTCCCGTTTGCCTGGCCGTCTGGTGAAATGCCGCCAGCGTCTGCGTCACCGGCGGGCGGGGCAAATCGCCCACCGGGCTCAACGTTCGCGACCGATTTTGTGGCCACGCGAATCTGACCCCCCCCCCCCCTTCGTGTCGTGTGCTTGAGCCTCTTTAAAACACGAGGGGGGGCTCTGACAAGCGCAGCGCGATGGTGTGCACGGGGTGCCGACTCCCGTTTTTGTTGTCATTCTTGCAGGAGGCGCAAAAGCTGGACCCCTCCTTGCTGTCTTTCCCGGACAAGTTGGTGCATATTGAAGAAGCAAAGAGGTAAACGCTCTCGGAGAGAGAATGCGCCGTTCACCTGTGGCCTTCTCTCTCATCCTGAGGTCTTACCAGGAATGGATTTTGAGGTTGAGGGGCTTAAGGGACGTCGGCTCTGATGTCAAGGGCCCAACATTCCAGAGGAGCCCATGAACAAAAACACGGGTTTTCTTTTTATTCATAAAAGTGGAACTGTTTATTCATCTTATCGATATATTAGAAATAACGTAACACTATAAACAATACAACCTTTATTGTTGCTGTTTGAAGTAGATTATTTTAACTATCAACGACCAACGTAGATTGACCATCTAGTTTGCACTCATGCTCAACTAACGCCTCCAGCCCACAGCTGATTGTTATTGGGATCAAACATCGAAATTGAATTTTTTGCACTTTTTGTACTCAGCATGGACGGGTTGTGCTTTTTCTGTAGGATTTTATTGTGTATTACGTATGTGATGTTTAGATTTGTGTACAATGAATTTTAGGTGTATCTTGTAATTTTATTGTTTGTTGCGGTTGAACCCAAATCAAGAGCCGAATGGCTCACAGGGGAAATCCTAATAAATGAAACTGAAACTGCGAGGGTTGGCAATGTTGTGTTTGGTGGATCGCGCACAGCGCTGTGAACCTTGAGTCTGAATCCTGCTCATGACCAATGACAGTGGCGAATATCTTGAACTGGTCCTGCTCGCGAAGAACACTTTCCCCAACAGTCTGCGAAAAGGCTATATGGGTGATCTTTGTCTGTATGTGCAAGGGTAGAGGCAGTGGAGATGGGTGTAGGGGAGGGGTCTTTTCTGCTCTGGTGTCCCCGGGGTAGAGATACCTAAATCCGGCCCCGCCTGTAGGCTTCTCAACCTAGGCTCTGACACCCCCCACGATCAGAGCTGGAATCTCTCACCGCGCTGGGTCACATCAGTTTGCGCTGTCCTCCTGCGCTAGCGGCTCGCAGGCCCGGGAAGGCATTGTTGTTATTCCCCTGCCGTGGGAACGAGGGGATGGCCATTCAAGTGTCAATCAGTGGAGATTGCGCTGTCCGTCCAGCCCCTTGTAGAACCGCTACCTCTCAGATAAAGTCCTTCAAGGCCGTGATGGCTCGTCACGACGTCTGCAGCTAAGTCGGCAACTTGACGGCATTTCAAGCGGACGGGCATGTCTGTTAAAGGGAGGCACAGCCCACTAAACAAATAACTCTTATCGTGTTGATAGCAGCCTGGGCTCTGTATCCCAGGGTGTCCAACACAAGCTTGAAGCTGAGCTAACGAGAAGTAAATTACTTTCTAGACGTGTTAACATAGTGTGCCATAGCAACGTCGCAGCGGTGACGTATTCAAATATATGTGAGTGGTGTCGCAGCGATATAACATGACCAGAGTGCCATGGTGGCGTGCTTAACTGCAACTTTAACGTCCATTTTCTTATCAACAAAGCTTCGAGCTGGGACACGACCTAGGGCTCCATCAACAAGATAAGAGACGTTTGTTTTTTGGGTTGTGTCCTGCATTAAGCACCGCTTTGTGACACAGTGGGGGCGAAACAACAGGAAGGTTTGCCATCAGTGGCGTAGCTATCAAAGTGTGCAGGCGGTGCAACTGTCACTCGGACCCACGGGCCAGACGGAGTCACGCGCAGGGCGGGGGGGGGGGGTTTGTGGCCGGGCCCATTTCTAAACTAAACTATTTTATTTTACAAGGTAAGGCCCACTGAGCTGCTCCATAGCTCTTTTTCAGAAGTGACCTGGCCACAAATGATAGCTCAACAAAGTAGCTTATCATTGAGTGAACATTTATAGCAGCCAAACATACCCTAAACGCGTGATGTTGATTCTAAATTTGGATGTAAAATCCGGAGGACCCGGAGGAAAATGCACGTGACCACAGGGGAGAGAGACACCGCATACTCCAAATATAAATAGGTGTCAGGGTTGGGATCGAACCCACGACCTCCTGTATACCAGGCAACCACGATGCCCCACTGTTTCAACCGCGCCACTCCGCCGGTCGCTGGACCAGCGATTGACGTGAGGCGCCGTTGCCGTGCCGTCGTTGCCCGTGACCCAGGCTCTCGGTGGAGACGATGGAGCTGGAACTGGAGAGTCTGAGCCAGAAGATCGCCTCGCTCCGCCAGAAAGTGCGCGCCGACCCTCAGCTCAGCCTTCAGATGGATTCCTTCTTCCAGGTACCGGCGGAGAAACAAACTCAGGCACCCGGTCATCCGTTGAGCGTCGACGGTATGGCACAAATCGCCCGCGACCAGATCAGAATGTGCCCGATCCCGTCGTTTTCTCGGAAGCTAAGCAGAGTTGGGAAAGGATAGTGCCTGGGATGGGCGACCACAATGCACAAGCAGGTTGTTGTGTAGAGCTACGGGGCGACATTGGTGGGCAGGAGAGGGTAGCGCAGCAAAATCCATCGTTGTACTGCGCCATTCTCCCACGTCTATGTGCCCCGCCTTCTCCGATCAACACCGATCAGAGTGGTGAAGTATGGCCAAACAGCCCCCATGACCCTCACGGTGTGATGAGTCATGGGGGTTATACAAGTACACGGTTAGCACGAACTGATTCTTAACTTTTCTAGCCAATCAGACAAGGGGATTTTGCCACAATTCTGGGATATGGATCAATGTCTTATCCACCTGTCCATCATTTCAGTTGAGAAACTTTGATTTTTTTTACATTAACCGCTGTGTGGGCGGTGGCTGTAGAATAGCTTCATTGTCTATAAGCTAAGCATTGTACAATAAGACATGGGCAGAGGCAGCGATTGATGTGCTTTGGCTCACTTCCAAAGTTTAAAACATCCTTCTTAGTGGAGCTTGCGTCTCTGACCCAGTGAGTTTGAGGAAGGGCAAAGCTGCTTCATCATCATCACGATCATCACTGGCAACCTTTATCTCTCCGCTGCTGCATGAAGGTCTCCCTAGGCCACCACAACAGTCCAGCCCTTACTTACAACCCTTACTAGTTGGCTGTGTCGGGTGGTGGCGGGTTTTAACGACACATTTATACGTTTACGTGATATAACCCAAAAAACCTCTATTATGAGTGTATTGTTTGTCCCCCTTCATGGATGTGCCACGTGCCTTCTCACCGTTGCTGTCCAAAGTTGCGACGGCCTCCCATCTCCGCGTTTGTGTCGCGTCAGTGTCCATCGCGTGCACGATGAGGCGGGTTTTTTTCTCCAAATAATTTGCCCGAGACAAGTTTCGTTGGAGAAATACATTTTAGGTCAATGTCGATTGATGTTGAGGAAGTATTCTCGATTATGCCTGGAAATTCATTTGTTGTTGTTATTGTTGTTGCTGCTCTGATTTCTCTTCGCCTGATTGTTGTGCTCTATGCTACTTTATCTTTACTGTCGCTTCAGTGAGCCAGGGCACTTCCCCCCTGAGCTCCCCACTCAGTGGGCCTGTAAATGCAGCGGAGAGAAATAAAGAAACTTGAACATCGAAATGTACACCTCAGCCTCATTTGGGAACGACTGCACGACCCCCGGACAAAGTTGCCACTTTTAATCAACGCCGCACGGAAACCTCAAACACGAGTCGAATCTTCAAACTCGATTGGTTGCAGGCGCAGGATTCAAATCGCCGCTGTCGTCGCTGACTCTCTCCGGTTTTTCGTTTGGCATTGCGTGCGCTTCGTCACGCGTGCTTTGCGTCACACGTGTGCGTTCGTGTCCGGCCGCGGGTGGCGTGGATCAGGAGGCGTCGCGCACCATGGCGGAGCTGGGGCGCCGCCGGACGGTGCTCCGCGCCGACACTCGCTCGCTCGCCAGCTTCCTCTGCGAGGACGAGGAGGGCTTCTCGCTGCAGGAGTGCTTCGGCATCTTCCACAGCTTCTGCGCCAAGGTCCGGAACGCCATCAAGGTACGCACCGGACCTCCCCGCCCCCCCCCCCTCCACCCCTCTTGTGCTTGTTAAAAGAAAGTAATGGCCAAGCCGGCGAGTATGACCGGCAACTTTGGCCAGGTCTGTTTATCTTTGGAATTGAACCGCATATCGGAATACGTGAATTTATATGAAATTTATCTGAAAAGGTAAACGCTGAACCATCCCACGCCCTCGCTTCGCCAGCGGTGGCGTGGTTGACGTGGAACCTGGTGCGAGGGATTAAATGGGGCCCTTCTGTCCAAATTCCCCTCTTCTCGAAGTCCGGTGACTTTGCTCCCGTAGCCCGTGGGCTCCGGTGCAGTTGCACTGCCTGCGCATCCCGATGGCTACGCCAGTGGCCACGATTTTAACAGCGCGAGTGCCGTCACCCGTGGCTACGCGCTCACACGTGCCTCCTGGCCGCCACCCAATCTCCGTCCCTCCACTCCCCGGCAGGAGAACCGCGAGCGCGAGATGAACGAGCTGCGGCAGCAGCGCACGCGGGAAGGCATCCTCGCTACCGCCGGGAGCCAAGCGGCACTCGCTGGCCTTCCCCGCGGACGAGCCGGTCTCCCGGGGCAGCGGCAGCGGCAGCGGCGGCGAGGCCGACCCGGAGCAGGCTCTGCCCGAGTCGCCCGTCGCCGGCACGTCGCCCGTGACGCCCGTCTCGCCGATGCTCGCGCTCTCCCGCACCTCGGTCGGGTCCACCAATGCGCGGCGTAGCAGGCGGCTACCGTCGGAGCTGGGCGGCCGTGACCTCTTGCACTTTCTGCACGCGTCGCCGCCGGTGTCGCCGCCGGTGACGGCGGCCGGCGAGCCGAGCGAGCGGGACTTCGACGGCGACCGGGAGAGGGAGCACATGCCGCTCGCAAAGTCCAGCAGCCTCCGTCGCAGTGGCGACCTCGTCAGGGGTCAGCGCGCCACCAGCCTCACGAACCGCCTGGCGTGGCGTGATGAAGACACGGAGAGGCTCCTGGGCAGAGCGGTCGAGAGGAGCAGCAGCAGCAGCGCCGGCTGCGGCGAGACGGTGGCGAGGCGCTACGACTGGGAGGGCGTCACCGCGAGGCCGTACAGGCGGAGCGCCAACATCGGAGGCGGCGTGAGCGGCGCGATCTCCGACTTGGAGAAGGCGCTGGGCATCGCGCTGGGCGCCGCGCACAACGACACGAGGAGCGCCAGCCCCGTCGCCGGAACCGCTCCCTGGGCCGCCCCCGTGGCCAGGCGGTACGGGCGAGTGGAACCCGTCACCTCGGAGCCGGATGTCGCGTCCGCCGTCCCTGATCATCGCCAGGACGGCGCGACGGCCCCGTCGCCGAGCGCGACAAAATACGACCGCATCAACGGCATGGTCGAGCGGCGTGAGCTTGTCAAGGGCTTAAAGTCCTACGACGGCGCTGTCGTCGAGGTCGCGCCTCAGCAGCCGGGGTCGGCCGCCGGGGATATGGAGGAGCCGGGCGACGTCATCCTCGTAGACCTGGAGACGACACAAGACGCATTCCCCGAGACGCGGAGGGCCGTGACGGAACCTTCGCAGGAAATCGACGCCGGCCCAGCGCCGATGACAGAACGGGCAGCTGACGTCCCGGCACCGGCCGGCAGCGATAAGCCTGATGCAGAGGTGCAGATGGTTTACTACGTGTGTGGGTCACAGCCCAACGCACCCACTACAGAGACACCCGGGGCAGGCAAGGATTTTCGGGGGGGTTCTCCGGATCTCGCTGTCATTAACGAGGCCTCGCAAGCGAGCGAAACCGGCGAGTCGAGCTGCTCTGACGAAGCAGTCGAGCGTCGCGTCTCTCTTGACAGCGCGGAGGAAGAAGCGCCAGTCTCGGCGCCGTCTGAACACCACGACCAACCAGCGCCGACCGATGATCCCCGGGAAGAATCGGACACGGAGGTGGCGCCGGAGGTGGCGCCGAAGGCGCGGGAGGAGCCGAGGAGGGAGACTCCGCCGCCCGTCGTGGGCTTGCGGCAAGTGAAGTCAAAGGTGGCCGCCTTCGTCCAGAGAACGCGGAGTTACAACGTCCCGGCGGAGCCCATCAGGCCCAGGCCCGTGGGGGGTGCGAGCTCGTCGGGTGCCGTGACGATGAAACCGGCGAGCAACAGGACGACGTTCAGCACGTCTGCGACGGCCTCGCCCGCCAAACCGGTAAAGGCGGCCAGCGTCAAGGAAAAGCCTGATACGTCGTCCTACCTGCAACGGGGCAGCCCCTTCCGGCGGTCCGTGATGTCTCCGAATCCAAAGTCGCCGCCGCCGCTGTCTGATCGCAAACCGGACGTGGAGCGCAGCGGATGCAGGAAGCCGCAGCCGGCGCTCTCGGTGCCCGACGTGCGAGATGGCGCCAGCTCCGTCGAGAGGAAAAACCCGGCGAGCAAATTGCGAGCGACGTCGGGAGCGGGGGGCAGCACGACGGACGTCCGCGGGCCGCTGAACCGGTCCGACAGGCTGAGGGCGACAGTGCGAGTGAAGGCCGGGGCGCCCGTCGAGGGCCCGCGTCCCTCCGCCTCGCGGCCCTCCTCCGCCGTCGAGCGGTCGCAGAGCTTTGGCGTTTCCGCCAGGAAGCCTCCCGAGGGCGGCAACAAAGTCACGCGGTCCGAGTCTCAGCGGACCGACGGCAAAGGCGCAACCTCTCCCACCTCTCCCACCTCTCCCGTTTGCCTTGACCACTCGAGGCAAGTGAAATCCCCGGATCTGAAAGCCGGCTTCGTCGTCCGGTTGTCGGGGGTGACGCCGAAGCACGGCCTCACACGGAACCACCTGTCCGCCTCCTCGTCGCAGCTGGGACCGAGGAAGTCGTCGTCGTCGGATCTGCCGGCGCTGAGCCGGCACTGCGGCCCCGCGGCGCGGACGGACGGGCCGCAGGCCGGGCCGAGGGACGGCACCGTGAGCCCCGCGTCGTCGGACGGGCCCAGGAATTTGTCCGTCAGGGCCGCTGCCCGGGTGGCGGCGGCGGCGGCGCCGCTGAAACCCGCGATAGGAATTCGGAGAACATCGTCGGAGAAATGTAGCCCCACGGACAACAGGCCGGGCCGGCCCCTGTGGAAGTAGAGAAAAGTGACGGTGATGAAAGTTAATAGATGGAAGAAGAAAAAAAAATACTAAAAAAGAGTCACGTATAGCAAACGCTGAAGCGAGCCAGATTATCTGACCGACGTACCTTCACGGCAAACGCGCCGACTCGTCGCGCCGGCGAGGTCCCGACGGAGTCGAGGTCGACCGCGGCGATCGCTCACCGTGCGCTTTGTGCCACCCTGTGCCTTCCGTGCCAGCGGCGGTGGGGTCCCCCGTGCGAGGGACTCTTGATAACGTCACCATGGGAAACAAATACCTTTGCCTCACATCTCAGGTGCTGCTCTGTTTCTTTTACACGCACGACCCAAACGATATTCGCACGAGTACTTATCGAAGAACGAGTGTAATGAGCGTATTCCTTCGGCTACATCTCTGGCCGTGATGTATTGAGAACTCAATCACGTGATGCACTGGCTTTCCTCGAGTGATGTGGAGCCACAAAAAGTTTATATTTGTTAACATGGTACACGCACACACACACACACACATCGTACACACACACATTGTACACACATACACCGTACACACATACACTGTACAATGACACGCGCGCAGTACACACTGCGGTTACGCAGTGTGTACTGTGGTGCACGTGTCTCTCACGAGTTGTATCCAGCACCGCCCGGCTTCTGTCTCCATATCACGAGACAACCGCTCACGTCTCTTTCCCTATTCACGTGGAGAATGCCGAGAAGTTGGTAGGCATGGCAGCCTGGACCGTGGTAGGCATGGCAACCTTGATCGTGGTAGGCATGGCAACCTTGATCGTGGTAGGCATGGCAACCTTGACCATGGTAGGCATGGCAGCCTGGACCGTGGTAGGCATGACAACCTTGACCGTGGTAGGCATGACAACCTTGACAGTGGTAGGCATTGCAACCTTGACCATGGTAGGCATGGCAGCCTGGACCGTGGTAGGCATGACAACCTTGATCGTGGTAGGCATGGCAACCTTGACAGTGGTAGGCATGGCAACCTTGCAGATGGGGTGGGGGCAGCAGCCAGGGCCACCCGGTAAACGTGGAACGTTCGGTCAACGCTGGGCCACCCCGTTGCTCCAACGGCTCCAACCACGTGCCAACGTCGGCCCAACGTTGCGCGCTTACCGGGACGGCGGCGGCCTCGCCGTGGCCACGGCCGTGCACTCTGACGAAGCTGGTGCACGGAACGAGAGCAACAGAAGCAGTGCGCGCCCTTTCCCGTCGCGTCGATGGGAGCAGGGGAGCCGGAAGCGTTCGGTGGCGATGTGGGTTGGTGGCTCACGGCCAACACCGGTGACGATTATTTGAACCGATCCTGGGCCTCCCCTAGGTCGACTCAGCCTCAAATGAGTACCTTGTGCGGTGTGTAAACATCGTCACTGGAGAGATAAAGACGGCCGGTCGTGCTGCTGGCCACCCACCCCAATGTGTGCCGTGCCGGCCTTCATAGGTGCTCGCTAACAGCACTTGCCGCAACAGTCTGTTACAGGCTATACGGGGGGTCTTTGTCTTGGTGGGTCATTCGCGGAGGGGGTCACGACGGCCCCTTGCTCGGTGCAGCAGCAGCAGCACCACGTGGGGGGGGGCGAGTGCGGCGTGTGATGTGCGGCGCGTGTCGGGCCGTCCCCGTCTCTCCGCAGATGTTCGGGAACGATTTTGAAAGTTGAAGGGACATTGTTGTCGGGTTTTTGTTGTAGACGAATGATGAGAATCTCATCGGATGGACGGCTGTGTCAAGGAACCGAAGGGGCCCATGATTGCTAATATTAAATGGGTAATGGGGGGAGGGGGGGGTCAGTACATGAATTGTCGCCACTGTCTAAAGTTTTAGGGTAGCGACCCCCCACCCCGAGCCACTGCTCCATCTATTACCCCCTCCGTGCCACAGAAACCGACGGTTGAATTGAAGCGTTGCTTCGTACGCACTGAGCACACACAGGCACACACACACTCACACACACACGGGCACACACACACGGGTACACACACGCAGGCACACACACAGAGGCACACACACACACGGGCACACACGCGCGGGCACACACACATGGGCACACACACACGGGCACACACTCACACACGCGAGCACACACACACGCGGACACAGGCACACACACGCGCGCCAGCCCGTTCATTTAGTGACTGCAGCGAGAAAACACGGGTGGAGCGGACACATAACTACCTCCAAGCTCCACGCCAGCCAGCCCGCAACGACGACACAACACATCGGCAATGTCGATTCGGGGAACAAGGCAACCCGGAACGGAGCAATGAGAACCACGCAGCAAAAAAAAAGGCGGAGGAAAAATAAACAAAACCGGGAGGAAATTCTGGGAGTCACCAAAGATCTCGCCGATCCAATGTCTCCCCACGCCACCCCTGACCCCACAGCCGCGCTCGCTGTCCACGTTGCCGACAGAGCGCATGGGGGGGGAGGCGGTCACACGTTGTGAGCGTGCACTGGCCCCTCGTTGCCACCGCTGCCTCGCTTAGCGCGGCCCTTTCCTGCCGGCACAAATGGGGCAAAGGGGGTCGCAGGCCTGCCCCCCCCCCCCCCCCAGCCTGCATGGAGCGGCGTCTGGGTTTGAAGGGTCCCGAATCACGGCGAGACACACACCCGCGTTTCGTTTCGGGATGCACTGTCGGTGAAGTAACGTCGAACAATGAACCCCCACGACCAGCACTCGTCCGTCAGTGGATCGACAAAAGGGCTGTGTGTTCAACAACACAAATCATAATAATAATACTACTTAGAATTATTATTTGAATTCAGGGAAATGGCCTGAAATGAAGCTGGTTCGAGTGTGTTGGACAATGTATCAAGCCAGCCGTGGTTACTACTCCTTTGGACAAATGTAAAAACGAGTGTCATGCTTGAATGACGTTTGCTGCGCTCGGATTAAGACATTGATTGAGGGATGTTTTCCATCACGCGTGTCATTGATCACGGTCAGGTTGGAGCGTTACTTCATTATCCTCACTCCTACTCCCTCACTTACCTACTGGTGCCCCCCCCCCCCCTTACTAATGACTTACGCCTGGATTAATGAAGGCTGCTAACAAATGAACTCGGGACCAAGAGAGATGTAACAATCTGAAGGAATCGCTGTGATCCCAGACCGTCAGGGGAAGAGAGGTCGAGATTTCGTGTCTGACTGTGATACGAGATATGTCAACTTGTTTTTTTAAATGAGTTTTGTTGTTGTTTAATGCCACTTGCCAATTACGTTTATATAAACGAAAGCTGTCTATTGTATAAAGGTCGTCTATCAATATCATGTATCAATATCGTGTATCAATATCGTCTATCAATGAGAACGCGGACTCTCTACGTTGGCTCATGGGATCACGCTCCGCGCGACACCTCGTGCGGTGGTGAGTCTGTGGTGTAGGTGAGTCTGTGGTGTAGGTGAGCGAGTCTGTGGTGTAGGTGAGTCTGTGGTGTAGGTGAGTGAGTCTGTGGTGTAGGTGAGTCTGTGGTGTAGGTGAGTGAGTCTGTGGTGTAGGTGAGTGAGTCTGTGGTGTAGGTGAGTGAGTCTGTGGTGTAGGTGAGTCTGTGGTGTAGGTTAGTGAGTCTGTGGTGTAGGTGAGTCTGTGGTGTAGGTGAGTGAGTCTGTGGTGTAGGTGAGTCTGTGGTGTAGGTGAGTGAGTCTGTGGTGTAGGTGAGTCTGTGGTGTAGGTGAGTGAGTCTGTGGTGTAGGTGAGTGAATCTGTGGTGTAGGTGAGTGAGTCTGTGGTGTAGGTGAGTGAGTCTGTGGTGTAGGTGAGTGAGTCTGTGGTGTAGGTGAGTGAGTCTGTGGTGTAGGTGAGTGAGTCTGTGGTGTAGGTGAGTGAGTCTGTGGTGTAGGTGAGTGAGTCTGTGGTGTAGGTGAGTGAGTCTGTGGTGTAGGTGAGTGAGTCTGTGGTGTAGGTGAGCGAGTCTGTGGTGTAGGTGAGCGAGTCTGTGGTGTAGGTGAGTGAGTCTGTGGTGTAGGTGAGTGAGTCTGTGGTGTAGGTGAGTGAGTCTGTGGTGTAGGTGAGTGAGTCTGTGTAGGTGAGTGAGCCTGTGTTGTAGGTGAGTGAGTCTGTGGTGTAGGTGAGTGAGTCTGTGGTGTAGGTGAGTCTGTGGTGTAGGTGAGTGAGTCTGTGTAGGTGAGTGAGTCTGTGGTGTAGGTGAGTGAGTCTGTGGTGTAGTTGAGTCTGTGGTGTAGGTGAGTGAGTCTGTGGTGTAGGTGAGTGAGTCTGTGGTGTAGGTGAGTGAGTCTGTGGTGTAGGTGAGTGAGTGTTGTAGGTGAGTGAGTCTGAGGTGTAGGTGAGTGAGTCTGTGGTGAAGGTGAGTCTGTGGTGTAGGTGAGTGAGTCTGAGGTGTAGGTGAGTGAGTCTGTCATGTGGGTGGCTCTCTCCGTCTCGTGCCTTCTCCCTGAGCTCACGTGACGCCTACAGGTGCACAGCTGAAGGGGGCCACGTGCCGAGCGGCGTGACATTCACAGATCTCACCGGGAGCCGTTTCGTTCACCCGACAGCGACGTTCGGATTAACGTAGAGCTGCTTGACTCCTGCAGCCCCCTTCCTCCTACTACTGCCCCACGGGCCTCGCCCTAACCCCACTCGAAGTGGCCCCAGGTCGGCGCGAAATAAATGATAGTGCGGAGCGCGGGCGAGACGTCGGCGGGACTCCGCTGCGTGCTTGTAAATAAATGCGCGTCACGACTGCCGACCCTCGCAATCCCGCGTTTAATTACCGTTTTTTTCTTCCTGATGAATTCATTGATTGATTGGTTTGATTACATTCATTGTACCAGCTGAGATTTATCAGTTGAACCCGAATTAAATGCATGGGGTGAGAGGGGGCGGGGCGGCGTCTAAGATTGAGAACTTCTGAACAACGAGGCAATCATTTCAGGATTAGAAATCCAGATCCGCTGGTTCATGTAGCTCGACGTGTTTAGAAACCGTCCCCCCGTTGGTCGTGCGTGGAGGAACAGCCGCGGGCTCCACGCGTTACGCCGAACGCGAGGACGTTTCGTTCGGGGTGGAACAAACGCGGAGATGGCCACGTCCTGCGGCCTCTGCTGGGGTCGTGTCCAGCCTGACGCGGCCCGCCTGCTCAGAGGCCCTGCGGTGTTCAGGTACGCATGGGACACTCGGCTCGTGAACGCTACTCGCGTGATGACGATGCCGCCGCCACTGCCGCTGCTGCGGCTGGCAGTGGCGCACAAGCACAAGCAAGGATAAGGATCCCCCGTATAACCTGAACAGACTGTAGGGGCAAGTGCTGTTAGCGAGCACCTATGAAGGCCGAAACGGTACACGAGAAGGTGGGTGGCCAGCACCACGCCCGACCGCCTTTGTGATGTTTACACACCGCACCAGGTACTCATTTGAGGCTGAGTCGACCTAGGGGAGGCCCAGGACCGGTTCAGATAATCGTCACTGGTGTTGTTGGCCGTGAGCGGGAATCGAACCCGCGTCGCCGGGTTCATAGCGCAGTGCGCTGCTACACCACACAAGCACAATTAACACACACACACCCTCTGTCAACAACAACACTGCCTTTAAATACAAACAATAAAAACGAACTGGATATAATCGGCGCCGTTTCGGGCAATGGCCCTCCTTCATAGTGCATAGAACCCAACGCGCTATGCAGCAGGGACGTTGGCCGGGACGACGCCGATTGCGTCGTTTGCTGTGAAGGCATTGTTGTTGTTGACGAGTGTGCTGAGTTTGTTTGGTTTTGCAAGTGATCCCTTTCGCTCTCACGCAGTCCAAG